CCAGGAGCATCTGGTTTATCTGGAAAAACATGACACAATTCTTAATCCTGGTTCTATGAGACCTTCCTTATTGGATACCTATTACAGAGTATCACCTTTTGAGAGTTTGTCATAATCACAAGGAAAAATGCAACAAATAATTTGAGTTCAGAACTCAAGATCATAATCATTCAACAGAACATGTTGGATGATTTCATGGATTCTAGAAGAGGCTTGGCATAATATCTCATCTGCTTTGCTTTCAACAACTGCCGTTGTCAGTCATTTAGCTTTCAGCCAGGAAATAGACTTTGTTGACATAATACACCATGATGAATTCGTGTGGGTTATTTTTGTTAAATCATAAGCTTCCCTCTTACATATAAACTAATATTGGACCATTTTAGGATGCCAAAAGAGACATAGTTGTCTGACATTTATCTTTCTTTTCATCATACATCAGATCAATGGAGATCAAAGGATCAATCTTATGGTATTTCTCAATGTTAAATTCTACACTGACGACAAATTCTTATCGTAAGATTTTTTGTGGAACAGGACCCAAATGATTTACTTACCGAATGGATCTTTAGCTTTAATGGGTCCAATAGCTTGAGTGGCTTTACCAGCACCAGCGGCATTCTCTGCCATGATCCTGAATTCATAGTCGTCATTCTCGATCAGATCAGTGACTGTATAAATAGTATCACGAACAGGGCTCTTGTTACATTTCGTCCATCGTGGACTGGTTTTAGTCTTCTTCTCAATCAAATATCCAGTTACTGGGCTTCCTCCGTCGTTCTCTGGTGGTACCCAGGTTAATGTCACTGATGATTTTGTAACTTCGGTTGGTTGGAATTTTCGTGGCTCACTTGGTACATCTGAAAACAAAGTATCTAAAATGTTAGCAAGCTAAATATGTGATTCTGTGATATCTGAAGCTTAATCAAAAGGGGGTTACAAAAGTTTATGATACATAATGGTCTGTTAAATCAAATGAACAAAGAATTCATGAGAATCTCTATACTAGATCTCTTCTTTTACAAACCTAGAAATGACTCGGAGAAAGTTACTTCAAATCCTTCATAATAATTCAGTGATAATAAATTTGTAAAATATAAAATTGAACAGAAGTTACTTGGAGAAATTATTTCAAATCTTGTTAAACTGACTGAATAAAAGAGCCCACTTAATTTGTAAAATACAAAATTCAATATTCTAAACATACCATAAGGACTCTTGGCAACAATGCCTTCCAAGATAACAGCTGGTTCACTAACACCAACTTCATTTTCAGCAGAAACACGGAAATAGTATTCATTACCCTCCAATAGTTTCTGTACAGTGAAGGAGTTGGTGA